GTGTGTGTGTGTGTGTGTATGTATGTGTATATATAATGATGTGAAATTTTTTTTCCCACCTTGTTCTAAATCTCTAAGGACAGGAAAACTTTCTCCATTTTCACCAAGTTCTTCCATCATCACTAGGAATCCATCAAACTCTTGATTTATTAGTTTTTCTTCATCTAAAGACGATTCTTCTAATTTAAGTCTTTGGATGTAGATTTCATTAGGCTTTACGCAGTTAGTCACCACCACTGGAAATATTTTTCCTTTTTCTGGAATTTTTGGATATAAGTATGGAGAAACCATTTCTACCTTAATCTGTAAAATAAAGGGTTATAGAATGAAAATGCAAGACTTTAAACAACCATACAAAAATGAAGCTACCCATGTTTTGAGCTAACCTGCCAACAGGGGGTGTTTCTCTCTCTCTGCACATAGGTTTTTACATTAATTGATATAACAGATTGGAGATAGGTACACTCGTAAAACAAGAAATTCAATTTAAACGAATATGAGATCAATTAAAACAAATTTTTTTATACTATACACTTTGCCATACAATGAACAGTTGTAGTCCTACTGTGAAGTAAGTTTAATATTGATACTTGATCATATAATATTAATTCCACTCAGAGCTCGATTGATTAAAAATGAATTAAAAATACAGCCTAATAATCCATAAATATGTTTCAATGAACAGTCTTTAATAACAAGATAATTATCATAAGCTTTCTAAATATTTTTTCTAATATTACAAGCATAACAAAATAATTATTTCCAAGTTAAAAAAACAAAAACACCTTAATACTGGATAACAGTTTTGAATCTAAGTCAATAACTCTACCTCCAAATTAGATCAAAATTTAAGCTTAATAATAACTTTAACAGAGACCTCGTCACTTCCACTAGGTGTTACAGTCGATAACATTTCATCATCAACTACCAGAGTGTTGCATGTAGTTCTTCCTGAAAATTCAACTTTCTTGGCAAAACCCATTTCTATTAGAATATCCTCTAGTACAAGACCTCCTGGCAATGCAAGAGAAATTCTCAGAGGTTTCTCTGGTTCAGGCAGCGTCTGAGTTAGAGAGTGAAGGTACGTGAAACAGAAAAGTTGCAATTTGTTTATTAAAGTTGAATTTTATTAATCATATTAAACTTTATTCAAAAGTTTAACTCAAAACAATTTGATGACATTACTACTTAAAAAAACCTCAGAAGAAACACTACACTTTTCTACACTATGTTTCAATTAAAATTAACATAAACCAATTACAATATGCCAAACTGTGAACAATGGTGTGATGACACCTTGCTATGTTGTATGTAAAGTAATACAACTGTTACAAAATCAAATTAGGTGTTTCTACTCACTTTTGTTTAATTCTTTTGAAGAACTGGTACAGTTAGCAGTTTGAAAGCCAGCAAACTTTAGAATTACTAGTATGTAATATATATATAGTTACAGATGTAAAAATACCAGAAGAAAAGTTCAGCTATTTGGTAGGCTGTTAGGTACATGTGCATCTTTTGTGTGTTATATATACACACATTTAATTTTAAAAGGCTCTGCTATATGCACATGCATGCATATCCATGGCTTATCTAAATATACTTCAATTTTTTTCTTGGCATTTTTTTGTGAAACTTTCATTCAGCCTTATAGTTTCATGAGAAAAAAAAAAAAGACTGACATTACATGCTCCTTCCCTACTAATTAAGACCAAACATGTCACCTGATTTCAGTACATCAACATGAGAGGAGGACACATGATACTTGTACACCTTCCCACTGGGGTTCAACATTAATATGTTTATAAAATAAAGGGATCGGAACATAATAGTTCTAATGATAAATTTACTAAAACAGAATACACAAACAGTATGTAACTTAAGGTAATTTTTAGATAACAGGAAAATGATTCCTCAGTGTCTCTTTTGATAAGTGTTGCCAAGATAAACTTTGTAAAAAAACACTACAGTTTTCTATTCTTTGCACTTTTTCAATCAATGCCAGTCCATTTAATCATTATAAAATACATAGGTTATAAGCAGAGTTTAGATTTGGATTTTAAATACTTTATTCTGCATAAATCTGACTCCAAATGTAGACTACAGATTCTTTACCTTGATTTTCATTGTACACATTTTTTCCACAATAGTTTCATGAATAAAGTCCAAAACATTCACTGGCCATTGAGAGTCATCTGTTGTCTGTAAGTTTAATATTTGAAATAAATTAATAAGATAGCTCTTAGATATTTTAAATAACATAACTTTTTATATAAATTAAATATTTACCCTAAAGAGATAAGGTTTACTTAAAACACTGTTAAGCAGGTTTCAAAAAACACAATACAGACCAAGCAAATTTTTTGTTTCTTACTACAGTAGTCAATTAAGAACTTCACACTTTACAGTGCTCATTGTTTAAACGAAATGATACAATACCATCCAAAAGTCAGAATATCCTTCCTAAACTGTTCCTAAAAAACTAATATATGACTCACAATGAGTGCTTATATTTGTTAATTATTTACTCTAACTGTGTGTGGCTAGTACTCATGATTATCGAGGTATAAATAACAGGTCATTTGGGCTATAGATTAGTATGTCAGAAAACAAAGTGGTGATCCTGCCATTTAGGTTCTTTTGCAAGTTTCACAGAAGCTACACTAAAGACAAGATCTCATTTACCAAGATTTACAGGACCATTTACAAAATTTATATTTTAAAATGTATTATACCAATATGAAGATTTTGTTTAAGAAATTTCATAAAAAGAATAAGGAACTTTAATCTGAAACAATGTCTTAGTTTGTTATTAGTGCTCAGGAAAATCATTCTTCCAGAGCCAGTGCTTGGAAACTTCATACCTCTCTGGGACCTGTACAGCAAAACTGGGAGACTGGATATTAACCAGAAGATGTCCAAGGCTGACAAATTTACTGCTTTACCCAAACATACACAGAAATAGACTGAGAGCATTAATGTTCATGTATTCAAGAAAAAGATGAATGAATGTAGGGGGTTTTATTGGAGAAAGCTGTCTCTCACAAGCTCCTGAAACAAGTAGAAGATACTATTTTGCTAGAAACCACTGAAATTGGATGCTCAGTGGAAGAGATAAATATTCCTTGATGAGAACAAAACTGAAATATTCAGTAATTCTTCCTGTAAGAAGAAGAGTAAGAAGTAGAAACAAGAATTTGTAGTCAGCATAATGGTCTAGGTTCCTTCTCTGCTGCTAGTGTCAGAGATGTCGTAAAAATACACAGATTCACAAAGGATGACTAACATTCTATTCCAGTACACCAAGCCATCCTAAATGGAATACCACTAATTGGTAGAGGGTTATTCTCCAGCAGGAAGATGATTCAAAGCACATTACATTTGTTAATAGAAGGTACCTAGAGTGGGAGAGAAACATTCAGCTAATGGAGTAGCCATCCCAAAGCTCCGACATGAACCCGATGGAAAAACCTCTGATGCTATTTGAAGGTTAGAGTGTACAAGATATCACTTCCACATCTGAGGGATGTAGTTCAGGAAGAATACTAATGCCTACTTCCAGCAATTACTGCCCCAAATAATTTAGATACTCAAGCAAGCCAAATAAGTTTTCACACTGATTACTAAATATTTGCAAAGATTAAATACAGACTTAACATGGAACCTGTGGTCTGGTGCAAATTATTCTCAATGCACAAAAATATATTACAGTATTTAAACTTTTGGTGGGTATTGTGTATTCATTCACTTTACTATGATAAACAATACTTGAAAATTACATTAACACATAGAGAAGTATTACATACAATCAGGAAAACTTCTCAAGTTGCTTGTAAAAAATATTGGTTATTATTTTCAATAAACAAATATATAACACTACATGTATTACTTCACGATATATTTAAATACATACCTTTTATTCTGTTTTAATAAGCTGCATCAAATATTCAAATCAAATGTATTATTCCTACTTAGAATTCTTTTTTTTTTTTTGTAAACATTTCTGTTCTAACTATTCTATAAACAGTGATGAAAGAAAATTCATCTGTGTACAATGCCCATCCATCTTTCATATCCTGATTGTATTAATTAAAGTTGCTCTAAAAACAAATAAAAATGAATAAGCCTAAGGCCCATTTAAACAAATTTTGTTTTAATTACTTAATTTGTTTGCCACGTTAAGCCTGAAATAGTCACAAATTGTAAACTATAAGATCATGCAAATGTCATGCACCACCACAATTTGATTTTTCTAAGTCCTGCCTTTACAGCTGTTTAAAGAAGTGCAATGTTAATAAGACCCATTACAAAATGCTCTGTGGTATCAGGAATATTTATTTTTATTATTTCCTTTATTACAGAGGATTTTCTCCCTGGTGCACTGAATTTGGTGATCACTAGTCTCCGAGAGCTCCAGAAAAAGTTTATGAGGTGCCCTGAGGTATAACAGTGCCCCAGAAGATGGCATAACAGGTCACATTATGACAACTGTTATAGTTTATGACCTGTAGCATTTTGAAGCAACTGGATGTTTTAGAGGGAATTTTACAATTGCTTCAGTATTTTATTTTGATGTTTAACAGTTTAAGAAAGAAACTAAAGAAATTTACGTTTCTAGGTGTGATACACATACATGAAGAAAAGGTGTAAGCAAAGGATGCCTATATTATGAAATTAGGTCAAGAACTGGGCAAAGTACAGTTAACTGGTTAGTTAGTATTGAGAATCACAAGTTAAGAGTTATAAAAGATAAGGCTACAGTGAGGATGCTGAGAAAAACGCTAGTCACGAGTTTGACAGTGATAAGTTACCAATGCCAATCTGGTACCACAGCAAAGGCTACTAAAAAGTTTATGATAGCATCTCAAATCAGCAATTTGATGTAAGATCAGTTACTACAGACCAGAGTAGTAGCACAAGTGAGAAGGCAACAGGAACACTCACCATCACAGTAAACGATTACTTGAGAGTTTTGGATCTTGTTTTCGAAACGCCCGATGAGTTGTAGAAATTATCCAATGAAGTGTCAGAACTACTTGCAGATGGTTAGGAATACTATTTGGAAAGTGAAAAGGATGCAAAGAAAATATAGTATAAAAACTCGTGTGTGGAGCTAAAAATCAGTTCTCCAGGAAGAATCAGAGTTCTCTAGGAAAAATCAAGATTCTCCAAACAGCCATGAATATGAAGGTTTCTAACCCCCAGAGATACAACAGTCTGACCTTGTTGTAAGTATAGAACTGCTAACTCTCTTAGTGAATTAATGTAGATATTAAAGTAATCATATAATGGAAGAAAATGATTATAACATAGTGAATTATTTTATACGTGAACTGTATTGTTCAATAATGTTTAACTTGGAAGTGAGAATTAGACTAAGAGTTAAGGAACTGTTAAATGTTAACTACTGATATTGTAATTATATGCTATGTATAAAGGCTTAATAAATGTTGATGTATATTGTTGAATATCAGTCTCAGAATTTGTTTCTTTAGTCTAACCGTAAATTACCTCGAGTTGGTGACTTGTGACCTCACCACTGCAATACTCAATTAAATAAAATTGGTGTAATTGGCAGTACAGTCGAAGCTCCTGCGACTAGCCCTAAAGGCACTGCCCATTACAATTTGCAGTGTTAAAGTTACTTAGAATATTGTGAACGTCCTTCAAATTTTCAAGTTTGATCACATAAAAAAATTAAGCAATTTGATAACACCATGAGGAAAGTGTACAAAATTAGTGACAAACTAACCAATTACTGTAACAAACAAAACAGTTGTTAATTTTTCTTTTAAGCATAAAAATTCTTAAGCTCCTTTTTTTGATAAAGTTTAAGATTTATTGCTGATAATCGTTAACCAGGTTATGCACTTACAGGTTTGATACCATCAAGTTCACATTCAAGACACTGCCTTGGGATATCCATCATGACTGGCTCCAATCGGATATCTTGGAGGGAGATTACCTCACGGTTGCCATAGTCTACAAACAAAACCTGAAATTGCAAAAAAATTACAAATGCATTCTAAAACCATACAGCAAAAGAATCCAATTATTTAAATATAAAAATATGTTGAATGTGTGTGTATCAAGTGAAAGAAACGTTCAAAGATTCCAGGTATTTTAATAAGTTAATTCACTTATAAAAAGGAAATTAAATTAGTTATATGAAGTGTAACTAAATTATTCATAAATAATTAAACCTTTAAATCCCATTCATTTTGTTAAAAAAATAAAACTAGAGGGAGAAACGTATTCATAAACTTATAATAACAAGAAAAGTGAGAATATGATTTCAGCACATTTATTTTTTAATTACAGTGGTTGAAATTTGGAAATTTTATGACCACAAAAACCACATCTAAAGATTCTTGAGCCCCTAAATTCCCACAGCAATTTAAGATAGCTCCAAAAAAAACAAGTTCAAGCCTCGAACAAATATTATTTTGCAGGAGAGAACATGGAATCAGAGACAGTCTTGACAATTATATAGAATATGGATAATTAAACATGATGTACCAAAGTGAAAAATATTTTCCTGAACATCCATAACATCAAAAAATTTCTAAAGTTTTGACTGTTTATACTTAGGTTTTTACTAATGCACAGTTAAAATATTTTTTAATGCTCTAAATTTGGTTAACTTCTTTTCTTCATCTTTAAGTGACACGGTAATTACCATAATCTAAAATAATACCACAATACGGCCATCTTGCACAGAAGCAATACAAACTTAATTATACTCAAATATAAATGAGAAGTATAGTCATAAATGATAAAGAAGAAGAAGAAAAGGTAACATGGTGAAGGGCAATGCAAGAAATGTAGTGAAAAGTAATAAATAACAAAAGTATAGCTACACATCAGGCACAAACTAGTTCTATTGATTTCTAACCTACATACAGTTTACCATCTCTTGCTCAGATACAACTAGAACTGACTTGCATTAACAATTTAAATAAACTATTATATACTGACAATTACTATTAAAGTTACTAGCCTATACTATAATTTCATATCTATATCTATTAAAAAATACTTGGTACTTTTGACTAGAACAATCCAGGTAATTCCCGCTTGGAAATTTCTCTTGAATTATTTTCAAAACTTGTGATACACAACAAAAATAGTAAAAGCTTCTGCTCTATATGCTTACTAATGAAACTGAACTTTGTAATTAGTGTATGAAAGATATAAATGCTAAAGCAAAACAATTTATTCGAAGACTTAGCTCTCAGACAGATCACAGCACAATGTTTTGTGTCTCTGAAAAAGGGTTGTCTTCTGTATTGCAAACTAAGGCTTCAAATAAACTTAATATTCATAAAGTGAGCAACACAAACAATCAGCTGGGTAAAAGAATCATAATACACTAACCTCTATACTATTGTCCAATACTTTGGTCACTTCTGCCCTGTACCAGTTCTTATCTAAACAGAACTTGGCTATGCATGCCTCCCCAATTTCTGGGAAAGTTGATGGAGGCACAAACTCAGAGTTTTGAAACTTGACTTGTAAAGCATTCTTGATAACATGCAAAGTGTCTGACCCTAGGAAAAAAAATACATTTGAAGCTTTGACTATACATACATTTCACAAGCAGCATTATCATTAAACCTCGACTAAAAATACATTTCACAAGCAACATTATCATTAAACCTTGACTGTATATACGTTTGACAAGCAGCATTATCATTAAACCTTGACTAAAAATATATTTCACATGTGGAATTATCTGTAAACCTTGACTGTATATATGTTTGACAAGCAGCATTATCTTTAAGCCTTGACTACATAGAAGTATGGATAATAATATTTTTGCAACTGACTGCACACAAATCTAATTAATGGGATTTCCTTCAAACCTTAACTGTACATAAGTCTTGTTAGTAGCATTTGTTTATGTGACAGTAAGGAAGTTTAAAGATTAAACCAGATTACCTTTCCACCTTGATTGTAAAGCAAGTTGCACTGGTGAAATTCTTTTAAATTTCTAATGTATAAAATGCAGAGTTACCTATAAGGTTGCAATGTACAACAATTTTAAATAATGATATTTAGTGGTGGTTAGTGTTATAACTTTTAAAACTGAATGTAATGTAGATCTGGTTATTAATATTACTTTCAAACTTTGACTGTAGAGCAAGCTTAACTAAGATATTATTCTTAAATTGTTGATTAAATTTTTAAATATCAACATTTCTAATTCACAATATCATTTATTTAATGTCTGAGATGGATTCCTGTTAATCAACAAGTCAGTTTGCAACTGTACAGTTCTAGTGCTTGATACCATCTCAGCCATAGCTCTGCACCAGCTGATAAAAAATGGAAAGGGTAATTCAATAATACTTGAATGTAAAAAAACAACTGCACAATACCATTTGATTTTGTGTTTGTTTCACATATTTGTGCAAAGCTACTCAAGAGCTATCTGCTCTAGTTATACTTGATTTTGAACTAATAAAACTGGAGGGAAGGCAGCTAGTCACAGCACTCACCACCATTCTTGTCTGGCTGACCCTTACATTTATACACACCCATAACCTAAGTCATTGATGTTTAATTCTGCATAGGGGTAGATGTAGAAG